TATTTCAGGCTGTCACTGGTATGTAATTAAAGTCCTTGCAAAGGCCAGCTATATATGACTGAGTTGATGTGCACAGAGTGTTAGTTTTTAATACACAGTGAGCACAGTCTGAGTGTTTGTGATCATTCTTATTTTTTTTTACAATCATTTAGTTCATTTTTACATTTGTAGGGATGTAGGAGAGTTACCCATTGCACTCTGTTTAGTTTGTAAGATTTTATTTTTATCAAGCTCTCCTTATTTCTGAATTTATTAAAATATACTCTTCCAAGGTTCACTTTTATAAGAATCTGTTAGAAGCTTCCTCTACCTTTCTTTAAAGGAGACCCAAAAGTTAAAAGAATCATACAGTATTGTGGCTATCACTCTAAATACTTAGTTTTTATTGCCTCTAAGAATCTTATAAGAAGGGTATCTGCCTTAATTCTATTTCAGTCTAGCATTGTTTCTCAACATTCCCAAGAAGCAGGTTGACCCAAGAATAGCCTACTGAGGTGACTTTTATAGAATGATGCTATCCAATAGAAATATAATGTGAGCCACAAATGCAAGCCATATTTGTATGTATTTTAAAAAATTTTTAGTATGCACAATAAAATTGGAAAACAGGTAAAACTAATTTTATGAATATATTTTATTTAACCTAACATATCTAAATATTGTTACGTCAACACATTAATATAAAATATTAATGAGATATTTTATTGATAAGTTTTCAAAATTCAGTGTGTATTTTAACTCACAGAACTTGTCAATTTGGACAGCCATATTTCAAATTATCACTAACCACATGTGGCTGTTGGTTTGCATTTTGGACAGTACAGCGCTAGAAGATATCAGAAGCACTAGGTCTTGACCCAATGACCCTGACCCAGAAGAACTTAAGCATATTAACATTTCCATGCATCTCGGTTGCCTCATCTGGGAGTTTACTCATTGACATCTATGTTTTAGGCATGGTGGTAGGCATGGGCTTAGTGAGGTCTTACCATAATAATCACTTTTAAAAAAAGTCTTTCTCCTTAACTTGTCTTATGATCTCTAAAAAGTGTTAGAGAAGCCGAAACCGGTTTGGCTCAGTGGATAGAGTGTCGGCCTGCGGACTGGAGGGTCCCGGGTTCGATTCTGGTCAAGGGCATGTGCCTGGGTTGCGGGCATATCCCCAGTAGGAGATGTGCAGGAGGTGGCTGATCGATGTTTCTCTCTCATCGATGTTTCTGACGCTCTGTCTCTCTCCCTTCCTCTCTGTAAAAAATCAATAAAATATATTTTTAAAAAAGATTAAGTGATTTTCTTTAAAAAAAAGTGTTAGAGAAGAACATAAGATCATTAAAAAGAAAAGGACACCATCTCTGTTTTAACTTGTGTCTTCTAAACCACCTACATTTTGAAATGCATAATCATTTTTCATGTCCTACAACATCCAGAAACACAATGATTTCAAATAAACTCCCTTGTCCCTCCTACTAGTTTCCTGTTAGCTTTATTATTTGGCTGAAGCATTTCAGATGAAAGTTAATCTTCCTTTCTTCTATTTTACTTCAGTAACTTCTCAGTTCTGTGTTGAAGTTAATTTCATACTACTCCATTCTTCCAACTCTGAATCATTGTGTACTCCAGGCAGTAAACTCACTTTAGCTCTGATTGAGACCTCTCCCTTGAGACTGTCTTCAGAAAGGATGGCAGCTTTGGAGTTTCAGGAAATTCACGAGGAATAAAGAGAAATGAAGTTACAAGGCAGACACTAGAAGTAAGAAAACAGTAATGATCAATGATGAGGCAAACATGCCTGTCAAAATGAAACTTAAGTGGAGAGAATTATCAGGGAGGGAGGCTGCCACCTCCTGTCCATTTCCAAGGGACTCCAAGTACCAGCCAAGGCTCCCTTAATTGAGTAAAATGACAATCAGGCATCTGAAACAGAGATGACTTTTATAAATAGGGCTGATAGCAGAATTTTTCCAACTTCTGATTGCTGTCTGGCTATGGTTCCACCTTAGAAAAATTCTTTCCTTAGAGTGCCAAATTCACAAGATGATTTTGCCCAACTCGGTGCCGCCATATTTTCTGAATCTCTTAAAATAGAATTGAATCATAATTTAGAGAAAGGATCCAGCATGCAAAAATGGATGGGCACATGGGATGAGGCCAAGTTTGTGAGATGCATTTGCCCCATGAATAGTGAAATCTTCTCTCTTAAATCTGAAAATGTTACTGAAGCACAGCTTTTGAAATTGAAGTAAGACTCTTCTCGTAGTAGTTTGCTTTTGGGAAATGGAAATATTAGATGCTTGTTAACTCTGTCAATTTGGTGCCTCCCCCACAAGGGAAATTCTGTCTACTCTCCCAGTCTACCCTCTATCATGCTACATCTCTCTCTCTCTCTCTCTCTCTCTCTCTCTCTCTCTCTCTCACACACACACACACACACACACACACACACACACTTCAGCATTTGAATCACCACTACATAGCTAAAACTTGAGAAGAAAGATTACATGTAGAGTTTGTTCATGATCTGTGATAATGGTCTAAATGGGTTCAGTCACCTTCTCCATCTCACTGCTAAAGACACAAGGCCTTACAAGTAAGCTCTCTCAGTGACTCAGAGCCGTCTGAGAAAACACTGTTATCTTAGAAAACATTGCAGGGTTCAAGGGCTTTCAAGAGGGAAATGGTGGCAGGATCAGGAGCCCTGCTGCTCTCTTGCCTTGGGCTGGTCACCATTGGGGAGAAAGCTTCAAATCCTGCCAAAGGAGTTAGTGAAAATGCTCAATTCTGTGAAGATGACAGCAGAAAAGACTTTGTAATCTTGCTGCTATCCCTGACATCCTAGTGTTTCCATGTGGCTGATGTGAGGCACACCCTGCCTATTCATGGGTGCCCCAGGCATGGTAAACAGCATATTGCAAACTCATCCTGTGGTGACTCAATGATGAACCACCTGCAACAGACAGTCCTCAATAGCCAGTTTCCTGTGAGGGCTCAGCAAATCCTCTCGTGGTCACACTCCCTTCTTAGAGTGGCCCCCATCTTATGATTGATTGATTATGAGTTATAATGGCTCAGCAGTATTGGCCCAACTCGGGAAAACTCTGAAGGGTCATCCTTTGGGGCCAGATAAGCTTTGTTGAGACTATATCATAGCTCAACTTCACCCTCTGCCCAATTTTTCCCACAGGTATTAATCCTAAGAGCATGCCTAGGAAATGTCTTGTCTACTGAATACTTGCCATGTGCCTGGCACTATGCCCAGTGCTGGCAATGCAGACATGGAAGGCACCATCCCTGGGCCAAGGAGTTCACCATCTATTCCAGAGATAAGCAAGTAAACATGCACTTAGAATGTACTGTGGCCAGTGATATGACAGAAATTAAGTATGAGGTGTACCTATGAGGGTCATTCAACCTAGCCTGGGAGTAGGTTATAACAGGGGTTGTAACAGCAATGAGAGGGTCAGGGAACACTTCTCAGAAAGGTGAGGTCTGAGCCCAGTCCTGGAGCACTGCCAGTTGTTAACCAGGTGTTTTGGTTTCCTATTGCTGCTGTAACAAATTATTACAAACTCAGGGGTTTAAAACAACACAAATTTTCTCTCATAATTCTAGTGGTCAGACACCGAAAGCCAGTTTTACTAAGCTAAAGACAAGATGTCAACAAGGCAGGATCCTTCTGTAAGTTGTAGGATAGAATTTGTTTCCTTGCCTCTTCCAGCCTTTAGAGGCTGCCCATATTTTTTGGCTTGTAGCCTCTTCTTCCATCTTCAAAGCCAGCAGCACAGCATCTCTTCTTGATCTTCCTGCCCCTCCCTTGTAAGCCCCCTTGTTTGGGATGACATTGGCCCACTCTGATAATCTAGAATAATCTCCCCATGTAAAGTGACATATTCCCATGGTTCAGGGATTAAGATGTAGACACCTTCAGGGAGGCATTATGCAACCTCCTATACCAGTGACATGCCCGAATCAACATTCCAGGCAGAGGGTTGAACATGTGCAAGGACAAGGAGGTGTGGCCTGGTGTCACTGGGGCATCTACAGGTATTTCATAAATTGGAAGCATAAGTTTCAAGAGAGGCATGCCAAGAAGAGATCAAGCTGGACAGAGATGCAGGGTTGCTGGATCATTTAGGACATTGTATTTTAAGCTTGACTTATACTTAATTACATATGTGACTTATCTCCCTATTTGCATATGAGCACCTGAGGCCAGGATTGGGGTCCCTGTCTTCTTGATGCCACCACAGGTCTGGCTCAGTGACTGGCACAGAGCAAGAACTCAGCACATGTGTGTGACATCAACAAATGCCAGCTTTGCCCTGTTATTAGACCATGGTGTCTGAGTAATCTGAGCCAAGAACAAAAGTCCCCAGAGCCTGGCTGGCATGAACCTGGGCAACTTCGTCTTGGCAGTGTGACTGGCCTGCTGGCAGGGGCGTTTCCTGAGCCAGCAGTGTGTGTGGCAGCAGTGGGAGAAGGCTTTTTAGAGTGTCCGTGATAAAACCGGCAAAATGGCCACTGTGAAAGTTGAAAAGTGGGTCCATGAGAGCTTATTATGCTCTTCTCTCTACTGCATATTTCCATAATTAAGTTTTAAAAAGGTTACATGAGCAGAGGTGAGGTGCACATAGCATCCTACAAAGGGCAACAGGCACCGAAATGGGAGTGAAGTCTGTAGTTGAGCCCAGACCAGGGTTAAAAGGGATGAAGACTAAAGGCTCATGTCCATAACTTAATGAGGTAACATCTGTGCTGGTGCTTCATCAACTGTCGAGTTCTGCAGACCCTTGAGGGGCTTTTCCTCAAAAGGTTAAGTTAACACAAACATTTGCTCAGAATTTAGGCCATTTTCCAATCTTTCATGGAATAAATGAGTTGAATTTCCTTCCCATCAGGAAGCTCAGGGCCCACTGAAATAACGCCTTCTCCACGCAGCCTTCCCTTTGACACCCTCCGTTTAAGATATGCTGGTTTCCTCCCATCTCTGCCCCTCACCCCAGACGCTGAAGGACGCCAGTGACAATGCGCGCAAGGACTTCCACCGAGAGGCCGAGCTGCTGACCAACCTCCAGCATGAGCACATTGTCAAGTTCTACGGTGTCTGCGTGGAGGGCGACCCGCTCATCATGGTCTTCGAGTACATGAAGCACGGGGACCTCAACAAGTTCCTCAGGTACAGTGCGGCGGGGAGGGCGAGGCAGGAGTGGGCCTTCAGGGTTCAGGCAGCCTGAGGTGGAGCCCCTGAAGTCCTGTCTGGCTCCAACGTGCTGTTTTCTTTCCAAGAGAGCTGCCCCTCAGCTTTGCAAGATTAGCAAACGTGCAGCCTGGGATTTCTTGGTAGAGGGTGTCACTTAGGAGAAACAGGAAGGGCATTCGTGGCAGGCAACCAAGTTGCACCTGCCCTTGCTGGCCTCAGTTTCCTTACTAGTAAAAGGGATGTGTTTATATCAACAAAAAGGACTACTGTCAGGACTATTGGGATGGGAGGTGATTAATAAATCTTGTCCCCACACCCTTATTCCTGGCCACATTTTCCTGGGATATTTATTGTGCCTTCCGTGTTATGGCAATACCTACACCTCTGTTCTCTGGATTCTGTGGGCGCTGGGGGGCTTTCCACCGGAAGTCGGTACCAGTAGCTTCATGCAGCCACTAGAAGATTCAGAAACCATGTAGTCTAAGTAATAAGGCAATTGTGGAGAGAGCAGTGGAAGGGGGAGCTTGTACTGCTTTGTTTGGAAATGTCATCACGTGGCCATCTGATCACTTTCACCATCTCTAGCCTCATGAATACATGTGGAACTTAGTTCTCTTTGGCTGGGACAAATCTTTCTCTAATTTGCCTCTGATTGTGTGGGTGATGGAGATTAGGAATATGGAGCCAATTCATGGTGTTCAGAGACAATCACCCTAAAAATGTGTTATCCAATATCAGCAAAGGTTTGCTTGTAGGTGATAGGAGAGTGGATGATGGTAGATTTCACACATTGTCTTGTTGGACCTAATATGAATAAGGAGCTGAATTTTGCTGAGGTCCAGCTGCACATTGGAAAAATATTTTTCCTTGTTCCCATGCTCTAGGCTACTTGTTTAATTAAAAATGGTGCTTTCCATAAATTGTAGCATAATAAATCCACATGTACCCATTAGATGTAATTAAATGCTTCTGTGAGCTCAGACTGTGCATGTGTGTGTAAGCACACACACGTGTGTGTGTGTGTGTGTGTGTGTGTGTATGTGTGTGTATTCTTTCACTTTTGGCTCCATCGGCCTCTCTCTACCTCTCCTTCCTGCCTCCCAGAAGGAGCAGGCACCTGGTTCTTCCTTGGCATCTTGCCCAGGGCACGAAGCTATTGGAAACCTCCTCCTCTCAATTTTAGAACCTGCTGAACTCTGGGAATGAGAGGTTTTCCATGCCAAGGATCGGGTTCTTAGGTGCAATACTGTGCTGTGAACAGTCTATCCTCTCTTTCTGGAAGGAAACCCAGCCTTCAAGCTGCCATGAATGTGTTCCCAAGTGTCATTGGCACTGCCCTATGAAGACAGTTGCTTACAGTTATCTTCCCACCCTTTTCATTCAGCCAAAGGGCACCCATTCAATAGAAACATGGTCAGGCCCTATGCTAGGTTGGCTAGTGGGTGACAGGGCTGGAATTCAAACCCACAGCCTCTGGCTGCAAAACCCCCAGTTTTTCACCATTGCAATACCTCCTCTTGAGGTGGTGCTAAAAGATCAGAAGAAAGCAGTGTGCTATGGAATTCCACAGCCAGAACAACGTGGCTAAGTGCTGGCTGTGACCCACATGGGGAGCGTACAAGCCGAGGAAGGTGAGAAGCCTGCTGAACCTCCCCGCTCTCCACAACGGGGGCAGAGGTGTTGATGGTGCTTTTTCCCTCTTAAAACATGTTCTCATGGAAGAGGTGAGCTATGTTTTTATTTCAAAGAGCTGCAGGATAACCTGGGGAATGAAACAGAGGGCTGTTGTGCTAACTTTATTTATAGTCTTCTTACTTGTTTAGAAGACTCACCTGCCGGACTTTCTGCTCAAGGAAAGCATCCACAGGATTTTCTCACTAGGAGGAGCCTTGTTCCAATCCCTAGAAGCAAGCAGGCACCTGCCCTACCCCGCACATGGTAGTGTAGCATGCAGAAGGCTTTGGCGGGCGGCCAGTTTTACGGCGCCTCCGCCTTCTGAATGTGAGGTTGGGGGCTGGGGTTTTGCACAGAGGTAGCCCATTGCACTCACCTCACATTTTTCCTTTTCTCCCAAGTCTTTGCAATGGACAGATTCTCAGCAGAATCTCGGCTGTGGCAAATCAACAACGTATTTCACTCTTTGCACTACATCTATGAAGATTTCATCCTGGCCTAGCTTTTCTGGGTATTTGAGGATTTCTCATAGTCTATGTGCTCCCCTCGGTCCTTCTCCTGGTATGGAGGTCACATAAGAGCTTTGACTCCTATGATGAGTGGAAACGTTCATATTTTTCCCTGCCTCTTAGTGCTGGGGAGGGTTGGGCTTGAGTAACCTTTAGTGAGGTGGGAAGGGCCAGCGCTATGGAATCCCTAAGAATGCTGGCACTGGCAACCACAAAAAGGAATGCCCAAAGGACAAGTTGTGTTGTCACGTCACCTCTCCATTTCTTTTTGAAGAAGAACCTGCTTACAGAGCCTTTCTCTATGGCTTTTTAAAAATTATTAAATGTATTGGGGTAACATTGGTCAATAAAATTATATAGGTTTCAAGTGTAAAATTTGAGAATACATCATCTGTATATTGTATGGTGTGCTTGCCACCCCAAGTCAAATCCTCTTCTGTCATCATATATTTGACCCCCTTTACTCTTTACGTAAAGATTAAAGGAGGCAAAAACATGTAAAAGAGGAGACAATAGCTACTGCAACTTGGAAATGAGCTCACGGCATAAATAGGAATAATTTGTGACAATAAACACATAACAGGGGAGGGGTATAGGTCTCTCGGGCTTTTCAATGAAAGGCCACAAAGCACCACACAAGCAGAGTTTCAATTGCTCCTCCCCTCGGTGTGCTTAGGAAGGTGCAGTCACTATCTCCACTTTCCAGGTGAGAAGCAAGTCCAGAGAGTCTCAGTAGCTCACCTGAGGTCATAGCCAGTGTGTTTGAACAGGGTTCAAGTTCAGTTCTGATACCCAGAGCCTTGCCCACTGCACTGCTCCAGTGAGAGATTTTGAGCTGAAGAGACCCCTGAGGCATTTCCCCTGTATTGCTCCTCAGTGAGACAAGAGGAGGTCGGGGGCTGCTGGGGTCCAATCCCAGCAGGTCCAGGGGTCCCCAAAGGTGTGGACGGAGTCGGGCGAAGAAGGAATGACACGAAGACAGCCTTCAGTTGGTTAGCAGCCTAGTCAGGACCTATAGCCAGGATCTCCAGCCAAAGTTCTGGTCGGAGTTCTGGTCAGGAACTGATGAGGATCTGACGTTTATTGTCCTATTACATCCGTATTTATACCAGCCGATTCCAATCCCGTCAATTTCTATTACAAGGGTTAAGGTGTTTCTCATCTCCATTCCAGGGAGTAAAGACCATGTAGCTTAATTACCCGCCTGGCACTTAATTAAGGGGTTGTATCCCCTCCCTAACCTCAGGGAAAGATCCCCACCTGGGGAAACAACCTTTCTCGGAGAGGTGACCTTGGTTAAAACACATGGCGCTAAAGGGAGCAAACATATTAAATACAGTATGCTACATACGCCAGGTCCACTGTAACACATGCTGTGCAGATGCCTCTCTCCTGCAGCGACTGCGTCAAGCAGCAAGGATGGACCGGCCTCCGGCAAACGGGGGCTGTGGTTTGAGTGGAGGTGAAATAAATGTGCTAAGACTTTTCTTGTACAAAAACAGGAAACTCCTCCTCAGGAATGGGTCAGATATTTACTAGTAGAGATAGAGGGGGCCTAAATGACCACATGGCATCATATCGTTTTGTAGTTCTGACTAATGGGGAAATCACACACTGGAAAAGTTAAAAGTCTTCCCCAGACCATGGTGCTGGACACCCCAAAGACTGGGAAACTCCCCACCTCCCTGTCCAGTGCTTGTTCTCTGAGAATACAAGAACGGAAGATCAGATGACAGCATGTTTTGGAAATCAAGGAAAGGCGGAATAGCTGTGGGCTGGAGCCCTGCTGGAGCAGGGTAAATGCCTGTGCTTGAGAAGCTCATCCCACCTGGGGTGGAGCTGGTGGGTAAGGGGAGAGGCAACACCAGATGGGGGTTGTTGGAGAATCCTGGCTCTCTCATTTTCAAATCCTCATACCGCTCTGGAACCCTGCAGGTCCATTCACCACTTTAAAATTCATTTTAAATCCTCTATTATTTATTTTAAGTTCTTCAACGTGTCTGGAAAGGGATGTCATTGGCATTGACTTTGGGAGGAAGAAGCCCTTTGACCAGGCCTTTATTCCTTGCCCCCTCAGGCCACCAGGGGCAGTGACACCAATGTTGGCTCACCACGCAGGGTTAGAATGGGTAAAGCAGGTACTGATTGCATATCCTAAGAGCGGAGGCGCTCCCTGAAACAACTATCAGTGTTGCAATGCCTTAAATCAGCGATGTTTAACCACCGTGGCAGGCACACTGGTGGGCAGCAAGAATTTTTAAAACATGCATACCTGATTATTTAGTCAAAGGCACTGACTTCCCTTACATGCATACCTGATTATTTAGTCAAAGGCACTGACTTCCCTTACATTGTCAAATAAAAAATAGCAACAGCCAACACAACAATAGCCATGTGGTGTGAATGAGTCAAAATTATACCTATTTCTTTTGTCAGATCGGCAAAAAAAATATATTTTCCTGTTCGTTGCAGAATTTTAATAATTAGCTTATGTGTGCTATGAGATGAAAAAGGTTGAAAATTGCTGCCTTAAATCATTCCTGGGAAAAGATAGGAGAAAGAGAAGATAAAAAAAATCATACTCTCCCCCCCCCCAAAAAATATATATATATATAAAGAAGAAAACTTGTCCAGTAAAAGAATGAATGTGTTGTGATTCAAAGAATGTTGCCTATGTGGTGGACAGTGTGTGCTTTGAGCTGGAGATCGGGGAGAAGGGTGGGCACAGGAGGTGGCACTGTTCATGGAGAATGAATGTCCAAGCTGAGGATGCCCTGGGATTCTGATGACCTGGGCTTACTAAGATGAGGGCAGCTTGGAAACCATGCCCAGCTGCAGAGCAGGTAGGATCGGGGAGACCAGAGTTGCCAGCTCTGGCCCTGATGGGGCACTCTGGAGGGACTGCCCTGAGTGTGTGTGTGTAGGGGGGCGGGGCGGGTGCTGGGCTGCAGCATGTGGCTGGGAGGGATGGAGGGTACGGGCTCAATGATCCATTGCTCTAGAAGAGCCAAACTCTCCACCTGATTGTGATTTTGTTGTTGGGTTCTTGTTTGTTTGTTTTGCTTCAGCCACCTACTGCTTTTCAGAGTCAGGGGACTACTTCTGAAGCCCCTAAAACATGAACCTGTCTGTATGTTGGGGGTGAGGGGTACCACTCAGGCCCACGTGGCCCCGGGATTCTGGACTCTGTGGGAATGGAAGCCTGGGTGCTTTTGAAGTATAACCACGGGTGAAGCGTCTTTTCCTCTTCTGCGTGCTAAGTCCGGCTGCGTCTTTTAGCACCAGTAGCTGATGGGGGCAAAGGGCCCCTCCAGGCAAAGAATTCCCTCAGCAACTCCTTCTGTGTCCTCCGCAGGGCGCACGGACCCGACGCTGTGCTGATGGCCGAAGGCAACCCGCCGGCGGAGCTGACGCAGTCGCAGATGCTGCACATTGCCCAGCAAATCGCAGCGGGCATGGTCTACCTGGCGTCCCAGCACTTCGTGCACCGAGACCTGGCCACCCGGAACTGCCTGGTGGGCGAGAACCTCCTGGTGAAAATCGGGGACTTTGGCATGTCCCGGGACGTGTACAGCACTGACTACTATAGGGTGAGTGGCTGCACCCCTAGGACTCCAGGGCCTGGTTATATTATTTGCTCGGGCTGCCATAACAAAATACCATGGACTACGTGGTTTTAACAACTGAAGTTTATTTTCTCAATGTCCAAGATTAAGGTGGCTGCAGGGTTGATTTATTCTGTTTCTCTCCTTGACTTTCAGACAGCGCTTTTCCTCTGTCCTCCCCGGGTTTTCCTCTGTGCATGCACCCCCTGGGGTCTCCGTGTGGCTAAATTTCCTCTCCTTATGTGAATACCAGTCAGACTGGATTAGGGCCTCATTTTAACTCAATCACCTAATTAAGGCCCCATCTCCAAGTACAGCCATATTCTGCGGTCCTGAGGAGAGCACAGTTCGGTCTACAACATTCTCCTGCTCTTTCCACACCTTTCAGGTGTGTGGTCTCTCCATGAGGGCAATCCTCAGCCTGAGAATTTTACCAGGGAAACCTGAGGGCCTGGGGAAATTCCTAAGGGCATGAGGTTAAAGGATTTTGAGGTTTGCACTTGATTCTGTGAAATTATGTCTGAAGGCTTTGTTTGAGGTTTGACCGAAGATGAACTTGTTCATGGAAATAATGGTACCCCAGACCTTGGAAGTTCCCCCATGGAACCGTCTTGGTTGAAAGTAGATTAGCTGGTGGTGTTGCTGTGAGATGCAAGAAGCACCATCCTGCAGGTTTCTGAAGAGCCCCACCCAGTCCAGAAGCTCTAAGGGGTTGAGTTATAGACAATCATTCAAATCCACCGATTACCAGCAATTGGCCCCTTTGGCATGTTAGATTTGCTAACTGAGATCTTGGGACCTGGGTCTGAGAGAAAAGGGATACTTCTGGAAACCTCGAAGTCCTGATACTGAAAGCAAAGGTTCAGGTGGTGTTCCACCACCTCAAAGCCTTGTGTTGCTGGAATTTCAAGGGTAGAAGAAGAGAATAGGAAGGAAAGGGAGTAAATGCGCTGTGTGTATATAGCCTAAGACAGTGGTTCTCAACCTTCCTAATGCCGTGACCCTTTAATACAGTTCCTCATGTTGTGGTGACCCCCAACCATAAAATTATTTTCGTTGCTACTTCATAACTGTAATGTTGCTACTGTTATAAATCGTAATGTAAATATCTGATATGCAGAATATATTTAGGCGATCCCTGTGAAAGGGTCGTTCGACCCCCAAAGGGGTCTCGACCCACAGGTTGAGAACCGCTGGCCTAAGAGGATAAAATGGATAATGTGACTAACTTTATAATAAGGTAGGGCTGGTGAAGAAAAGGCCTCTCCTCGCCTTTACTCTTCCCTTGATTTATTCGTGAGGAGGAGCCTTCTCAGTTTGTTTCCTGTAGTTCTCACTGCGGCCTCACTCACCTCCAATGCCTCTGCACTTTAGCTGAGCCAACTGTGCTACAATTAGTCTAAGACAGCGATTTTCAACCTGCGTGACACAGCATAGCGGAGTGCCCCAAGAACTTTTCAAATATGCAGTACCTGACTCTGTAGTCAGGGGCACTGACCTCTTTTCCCTTAGATTGTCAAATAAAAATTAACAACAGCCAACACAACAATATCCATGTGATATGATGAATCAAAATTACACCTTTTTTTTGTCAGATTGGCAAAGAATATAATATATATTTTTGGTGTGCAACAGAATTTTAGTAATTAGTTTATGTGTGCCATGAGATGAACAAGGCTGAAATTCACTGGTTTAAGACAATGAGTTTATGGCCTTGGTGTATATTCTTCTGTAGATATTTTTTGTGGTGTGTTATTTTTTTCCTTTGTCACCTCCATAGGCATTGTCCACATTTTGTATAGCAAGGAGTGGAGACCAAAATTAAAAATGATTATCTTGAGTGTATTTGTAGAAAACATGAGCATAGTCTCAACTTCAAGTGTTCAGAGTGGAGCTTCAAAGCACCTGTCCTGAGTTTAGGGACGGCTAGTTTGATCTAGATATCTTAAATGGGGGAGGGGGGTGTTATTACCAATGGATGCATCTCCTCTGTTAGCTCTGCTTCTTTGGTGGTAGGTGGGGTAGGGGCCTCTCCCTGTTCCCTTTAGTGGTGCTTCCCAAAGGGAAAGCTTTGCTGAGCTTGATGAGCATCTAAGGGAGAAACACATGGCCCAAGCAACAGCTTTCTCTTTAGCAGGAAGTTAACCAAGGTCTCAGAGTGTCTGGCACAAAATAAGTGCCCAATAAATGTTTTCAACTATATCATTATCCAAATCGATTATCCACCCAATTAAAAAATTGGCAAAGGATTGAAGTAGAGATGTCTCCAAAGAAAATACACAAATGGCCAATAAGCACATGAATCGATGCTCAATATCATTAGTCATTCGGGAAATGTAAATCAAAACCACAATGAGATACCACTTTATACCCCCTGGGATGGCTGTAATAAAAAGACAGACAAAAACAAGTGTTAATGGGGATGTGGAGAAATAGGAACCCTTATAAACTGCTGGTGGGAATGTAAAATGGTGCAACTGCTTTGGGAAAACAGTTTGGCAGTTCTTCAAAATGTTCAACATAGAGTCACCATATAACCCAGCAATTCCATTCCTAGGTATACACCCAAGAGAATTGAAATCATACGTTCACACAAAAACTTGTACACAGTGGAAATAACAACATTATTCATAATAGCTATAAAGTGAAAATAATCTAAGTGTCCATCGATTGATAAACAAAAATTCATAGTTTGTACAGTGGAATATTATTTATTAATTAAAAGGAATGAAGTACTGATTCATGCTACAACATGGATGAACCTTGAAATTACTATGGAAAGTAAAAGAAGCCAGGCACAAAAGATCATATATTATATGATTTCAATTTATATAAAATGTCCAGAATAGGCAAATCTATAGGGACAGAAGGTAGACTAGTAGTTGCCAGGGGTTAGGGCAATGAAGAATGAGGAGTGACAACTAGTGGATATGGACTTCCTTTATGGGATGATAAAATTTTTCTAGAATTGTATAGTGGTCATTTAGTGTATTTGAAAATACACTAAAAACCATTGAATATGTACATTTAAAAGGTAAATATTATGGTATATAAATTATATCCCAATTTTTAAAAACCTGAAAAAGGAAAATACTAGCCAAATAGCGACATTGGATATAAGGAGTTAGTCTTGGTCATTTATATATTATAAAAGCACTGTCACTTGTCACATACCATATTTTATCATTTGTTAAAAAGAAAACCCTCCACTTAGATGACATATTCCTGAAGTACTTCCTTCGGAATTGATTGGAGAAAAGAATAATTCCCAGTTCCTTTATCTGTTAAATGTTCTTGGAACTCTCCCAGTCATTAAGAAACGTGCTTCTGGCGCCACTTTATTCAGTCCTCCTGCCCCCCACCAGTTGCAGCTGCAGGGTTTGAAATAATGTTCAGTTGGTTGTTTGTTGTTCCCGCTGAGGAGAAGGAAAAGAACCAGCCTTATGTTAGCTCAGTTAAAGTGGGAAAAGTGGGTGAGGGATGTAAGATCGGGCAATGTGATAGTAGCCTAGGAAAACAAAAAAAGTAACCTCTAAAATTTCAAAATGATGGTTTGCCTTTTGGTTCCATGAAAGTATTTATCATCATGGAACTCCTTTGCAGAATTTTTTTTGTTTTGCTTATTAAAACATCAAAAGCAGCCCAGCTGGCGTGGCTCAGTGGTTGAGCATCGACTTATGAACCAGGAGGTCAGGGTTTGATTCCTGGTCAGGGTTCATGACCAGGTTGTGGGCTGATCCCCAGGAGGGGGTATGCAGGAGGCAGCCGATCGATGATTCTCTCTCATCATTGATATTTCTATCTTTCTCTCCCTTCCTCTCTGAAATCAACAAAAAAATTAAACAAAAAACAAACAAACACCAAAAGCGTATCAGTGGAGTCCATGCCATTGAGTTTGTCAGATAGACAAGCAGAGGCTGTTTCTCTGTGTTTGCAGGTGAACTCCAGAACATCTCACAGCAGCTATTTGCCAGAACACTTTTCGCTTTCACATTAGTTATTTACCTGTTGCATCATCTATAAGCTTGGCATCCAACCCCTCCCCACCAGGGTGCCTCTTCATCTTCTCTGTTATAGCAACTGGGAAATGTGTTCTCCTTACAGTTCGGGTTTCTCATTTGCAGACACCTTTTCTTCTTATTCTCCTCTGGTCTTCACCCTCCAAGGTGACAAGCTGCTGTAGCTGATGTGGCTGGCCCTTAGCTATGTTAAATACCCCTTCCGCCATAGTAATGGGGGAGGATTTTCGTGTTAGCCAAGGGTATCTTATATAGAAGGATGGTGATTAGGCCTGGAGTCAAATTTATTGAGGAGTAACATGCCCCTTGTCTTTAAGCAAGAACCAGTCCCACTGGCAGCCCAAGCCTTCTGCTCATAGTGGCTCATGAGCAGCGTTGTGGGGTGGCCACAGCCCTGTGCAATCTGGGGCAGCAGGGGCAGGTGGCAGCTGTTCTTCCATCATGAAAACGGCTGCCTCAAGGCTTCCACCCTGTTGCAGCTGAGCTAATTATATCTTCCCAATGAAGGAAGAAATCGGAATGCTGCATTTGCATGGAAACCAGCCTGATTTGGTGGGTCCAAAATTACTCTAGCATTTATGTTCTCTGAATTGTTTTAATTAGCAGCTCTGCAGTACTTGTCTTTTATTTCGTTTTTATTCCTTCCCACCACTGGCAAAAACTGACGTTTAAGGAACATCTGAACCAGGTTTCTGTCACATTCTGCCTATGACAGACCTAGGATCTCACTCTGCGTGGTCATTACTGTGCCACAGTGGATCCACTGAAATTTTTCTAATATGCACTTTGGTGGTTTTCACCGTTTGGGTCCGACATGTGTTTAAAATGAATGTGATCTGTTGGTGAATAGAGGGCCCTAACCTCTGAAATCCTAGTTTTTGTGTCTTGTTCTTCTTTGGGCTTTAGTTCTTCTTTGGGTGGTAAGAAATTCTATCCTTTAATTCATCTTCCACTTAAGGAAAAAAA